GAATTGGGAGAAGTACATTGGATGCAGCAAGGGAAGTGTTACCGTTGCGGCGTTCAGAACGACCACATCAGCTCGCGCTGTCCGAATCCGCTGGTAACACCGGAGATGTTTCGCCAGCCAGAGAACCCATAGGAGTTTGCCCAGTCGTTTTCGTGTGGCACGCGTACTGGGGACATGAATTCGCATGATTTCCGAATTATTGATTATGAGTTGTTGCGACAACTAGAGCGTCGAATTGGACGAACGTTTTCTTTGGACGCTGCTGCGAACGATGATGGAAGTAATTCTGTCTGTAAGATGTTTGCTTCACCGACTCGCTCCTTTCTCAATTCCGATTGCTCTGGCCACACTATCTGGATGAATCCTCCCACGAAACTGTTATCCGATTTCCTCCGTCATTACCACCGTTGCAAGAGTTATGATCCTAGCATATCCTCTTGTATTTTGATTCCAACCGAACAGAAACGAATACGTCCCTATCTGAAAGACATGACACGACTTATGATTTTACCGTCCGGAACTCAGTTGTACCGTTCATATCGGGTTGGTTGTCCAGATCCCCCGCCTGAAACGAGCACTTATGAAATTTGGTGGGATCCACCTAAAGGAAAACCGATTGAGCCGAAATGTTCTATAACCGAAACCGATAATCAGTTGCATTTATTTGCTGGACGCCTTGGTGCTAATGCTGTACAAGTTCTTCCGGACACTGGCGCTACGCACTGCTTCATTTCCCAGCTCATGGCTACCAAACTTGGCTTGCGGATCTTGCCTACACCGCTTGCTCCAGTGCGCCTAGCCGACCAGTCGACCGTACCTATTCTTGGTGAGTGTCGAGCTCGTTTGCGCCTTGGTAGTTTTGGTACCGATATCCGTTTGCTCGTTTTACCGGCTTTGACTGTATCGGCGGATGTGATCCTTGGCACGAACTTCTTAACCCGTTATGATGCGCAATTAAGGCCTGCGCATAGCGAACTGAGTTTATTACGGCCAAACGGTGCGCGATGTACGTTGCGAGCGATGCACGCCCCGTCTTCTTCTGTTTCCGAATCACCGAAACCCGAATTTCTGTTGTTGGAAAGAGCGCCAGCTCGCACGTCTGTGGTATCCGCGGAGCGCGCGTTTAGAGACCTTTTCGAGTCGCCCGGCTCGCGTGGGTTGCTGGTTGTCGTGAAACCGTTAACCGAATCTACCGCACATCCTCCGACCAGCCCCATTCCTCAGGTCAATTCTCTCGAACTTCCACCTGAAATCGAAACGAACCGAACCTTAGCAACAATCTTGCATAAATATGCGGATGTGTTTGCTCCGATTTCCGGGCTACCTCCTGACCGTGGGGTACATCATACAATACCGTTAGAGCCAGATGCACAACCGATTTACCGTCCTCAGTACCGTTTGACACCGTTGGAAAAGGAAGAAGTTGAAAAGCAGGTCAAGGACTTGCTGGCTAAAGGGTTTATTCAGCCCTCAACATCTCCTTTTGGTGCGCCAATTCTCTTTGTGACCAAGAAGACCGGTGAACTCCGTATGTGTATCGATTACCGAGCCCTAAATCGATTAACGATTAAGAACAAATATCCGTTACCACGAATTGACGATACGCTAGACCGGTTAGCGGGAGCACGAATCTTTTCTGCTCTTGACTTGGCTTCTGGTTATCATCAACTCCGAATTCACCCGGATGACGTCCCGAAATCTGCTTTTAATACACCGTTGGGACATTTCGAGTGGTTGGTGTTGCCTTTTGGGCTTTCCAATGCTCCTGCGACGTTTCAAGCAACCATGAACCGGATTTTCGCACCGTATATGCACCGATTTGTCACTGTATATCTGGATGATATTCTGATCTTTTCGAAAACTCCGGAAGAACACGCTGAGCATTTGCGTTTGGTTCTTGAAACGCTCCGAAAACACCAACTGCACGCGAAACTTTCGAAATGTGAATTCTGGAAAACCGACGTCAAGTACCTTGGTCACATCGTAGGCTCTGCTGGTATCCGAATGGACCCGAATAAGGTGGACACGATCCGAAATTGGCCACAACCTAAGGACCTAAGTGAGCTGCGCGCCTTCGTTGGCCTTGCGAATTATTTCCGACGATTTATCCGAAATTTTGCGTCCTTGGCCGCGCCACTTACGGACCTCTTTGGCAAACCGCGCCTCCCGGATGAATGGCCACCTCAGGCGCTGGCCGCATTTCAATCCATTAAAGAATGCCTGTCCACCGATGTCTTACTGCATTATCCGAACTTCTCGAAACCGTTTGAGCTTGTTTCCGACGCATCGCTCAATGGAACCGGTGCCGTACTGTTGCAAGATGGTCGTCCGATTGCTTTCACGAGTAAGAAATTTTCCGCTGCCGAACGCAACTACTCTACCGGTGAACAAGAACTGTTGGGCGTTGTGAATGCTTTACGCGAGTGGCGATGTTACTTGCAAAGCAACATCCCATTCACCCTCGTTACCGATCATCATCCGCTTACGTATCTGAAAACGCAAGCTCATCTGA